AAAAGGAGATCAGGTTGGTCAAACAAGACCTACCCCTCCTAAACCCATGCTGGCTGGGTCTGATACCCTGACCATCCTGTAAGTTCTGTGTGATGACACTCAATATAAACTGTTCCATAACCTTACCAGGTACTGAGGTCTGGCTAACTGACCTGTAATTACCAGGATCCTCCTTCCCACCCTTTTTGTGAATGGGCGTCACATTGGCCAGCTTCCAGTCATCTGGAACCTCACCAGTGAGCCAGGACTGTTGGTAAATGATGGAGAGTGGCTTCGCAAGATCATCTGCTAGCTCCCTCATCATCCTGGTATGGATCCCATCTGGTCCCATGGATTTATGAATATCCAAGCATCTCAGCATTTCTCTGACTGCCTCCTCTTGGATAATGGGGGGACCATTCTGCTCCCTGATACCATCAACCAACCCGAGGACTGTTATCCTGAAGGCAAGTCATCTTCCCACTGAAAACTGAGACAAAGAAGGCATTAAGCAGCTCTGCCTTCTCCTCATCTGCAGTTACTAAGTTCCCTTCTGCATCTAATAAAGAACAAAGATTAATCTTATGCTTCCTTTTACCATTAATATATTTATAAAAACATTTTTTATTATCCTTTACAAAAGTCGCCATTTTAAATTCAAACTGAGCTTTGGCCTCCCTAATTTTTTTTCTACATACTCTAGCAGCCCTCTTAAATACTTCTTGAGAGACCTGACCCTCCTTCCAAAGATAATCCATCCTCCTTTGAGATCCTCCAATTAATTCCCTTTTATTTCTTTTCAAGGCTTCGTAAATTGGTACCCCTAAGTCATCCCCATCCTAAAAAAAAATCCTGGCTATATAATTCCCAGAGTACAACTCCCTTTCCACTGGGGGGGGGAGTTTTGGGTAAGCTCTTTTCCCACATATCCAGAATAAGCCATCTGGTGCTCTCCAATAATCATTACTTTGTTGATGTATATTTTCCCAAAATTTGGATATCTCTGGGATTTCAGAATAGGGATTCTTGCCTATATCATTACACAGAAAAAGCCCAGCTTCATTATTATATTCACAATTTTTATTAGTTTTTCTCTGGGCCCAGTACACTGTTGGTTCTTCAGGGACCCACAGTGTAAAAGTCCCATTACTAACTTTATATCTCTTACAAGGTGTACTTCCTACTCTGTTAAAAAATTTTTTTCCAAGTTCACCAGAGGCACTCTTCTCCTATCACTGTTGAACTCAAGATCTACCCTTCTGGTCAGTTTTCCCCTCTAATATTTGTTCGGTTCCATTTAAGGAGTTCAAAAGGGCCTAGGCTACTGCCTTTCCATGGCCATTCCTCTGTTATTATGGGCCCCCCACAAACCCAGCACTTGGTTACATTTAGTTCTCTACTTATTCTTTCCCCCAAATCCACAAACAGGTTTTTCCCTAGTCTAGGGATTTCTATTTCCTTTTCCAATTGTTGTTTGAGTTTTGCATGCAAATCTTCATGTGGGGTTGACACTGGGTTAGATTGCTGTATTTGCTTTGTCATCTTGCTCACTATCTGTTCTTTTACCAAATCCTGGACTTCACCCCTGAGAGCAATTGTAAAGCAATCCCATCTTTTCCCCTTTGGGCATTTACTTCCCAGCCTTTGACCACCTTGTCCTAAGTTTTCTGCCACCCAGTATTGGAGTTTACCAATATTACTGAACGGGACTGCCTTGGTCTGCCTGGTCCCAGCTGCTGAACCAAATAGCCGCACCTGTGGTCCTTTCTCCCCAGAGACCCTATTCAGTACTTGTGGTCGCAGCTGGGCACGTGGGGACAAGTCCGGGCACGTCCCAAGCTCCAGTGCTTACGGCTGGAGCTTGCTATTGATGAGGGGGTCACTCCTCAGGCCTTCCTGAGCTGGAGAATCCTTTAAGGCGAGGTGAAGAAAGGAGTGGGTCCTGATGGAGAGTTTTTAATCCAGAGTTTTTATTTTGGGCCGCATGGCCTCTGAATCCTGCAACAACTCCAACAGAACCTCCAACCACGTGGTGTGCTTGTCCTTTTACCTGGGGAGAGGGCGAGGGGAGGGACCACAGGAACCACCAACTAGGTATGAGGGGAGGGGGTCTCAGGTGAGACGGACACTCGGGTGGGCCAATGGCCCCCCAGGGGGTGGAGAGCATCCTTTGAACCTGCCAATCACTCGACGCTCCCCTTGGAATTTCTGGTTTGATAGACAGTGCCCAGCAGGGGTCAAGGGTGGGGAAAAGGAGAGGTGGTGATTGACATACCACCTGGGGGAGGAAACTTCCGGGGAAACTGAGGCACACCATGACAACACACCACAACAACCCAGAATGTCTGCCCGTTCTGTGTACAGTTTTCTAATTTGAATGAGTCATAACAGTATCTGTTGATGTAGGTGTGAGCAGTGAAAAAAGAACTTTGGGTTTTTCCTAAGTAAAGCAATTGGTAGCATTTATGACATGGATTTGCTTGAGTTCCAAAAGGGAAAAGACAAAAAAGAGGAGTAACATACAAAAAAGGAATAGCAGAGGTCTGGTATGGCTTCTACCCCCACCTCCCATGCCTATGGGGTTGCTACCCGTAGCAGGTGTGTATGATCTTCTTGGTGGCAAGTACAGCGGCCAACCTGGTCTTGCCCTCTATTTCCTTGTCACTCTCTTTTCTCTAATTTCTAAGTAAATTGCTTTTTGCCGTCCTGTATTGTGGTTTTTCCACTGTTCATCAGGTACTTCCCATTTAACAGACACTAGTAGTTCCCATCCACAAAGTAAGATAATTATATTAGTACAAATTACATACTAATTCTAGTACATTAGGACCCCCTGACCAATACAGTCCTGATCCTCCTGCTTGGAGCAGAAGTGTCCCTCCCCAAAGGGGTATTGGAGGTTTCTCAAAACTTTTCCAGACAGTACTTGAAATCACTGATATGAACTTGGCCTTGTTTCCCAGTTATCTGTGATCCTTGGAATATTCCTTGGATCATTCAAGTCATCTCAGTTCATTACCTCCCAGTCCTCATTTAATAGTCAGTTTTGTATCACCCAATCTAGATGTTATGGTCCATTCCTTACTTTCTTCCACAGGTCCTTTGATTCTGCTGGCATGCATCCACTCTCTTTCCTTGGTTTGGATCGCAGCTTCGGTTGTCAGTAGTACCTGAAAATGACATTGTGGAGTTAAAGATTGTTCTTTCCATGTTTTAACCAATACCCATTCTCCCAGGTGAACATTGTTGTGGATGCGACAGCCTGGTCAGAGAGTGAGAAAACAAGATAAGTTTTCTCACAGCAGACTTGTGAGACTTTTTAGGGAGTTGTAGAGAAACTATGATAACTTCTTATTATAAACAACCTGCAGGTGGTGTTTTCCTGTTGCTATAGACCATGACACGGGGCAAGCACCAAGACTCAGATCAGAAGGCTGTATATGCTATTTATTAAAGCAACATGTTGCCTTTATAGTTGTATAGGATATTTACATTTGCTTAACAAAATACACTGCCCATTGGTCATGAAAAAGAAACAAAACTCTTAATAGGTAAAAAGGAGCCATGTCACTTTGTGAGCCAACCAAAGTCCATATCTTTTGACTTTCTCTCTTTCTTCACGTTGTCATGGTGATAGCCTTGGTACCTTCCTTGAGAGAGATACGAGGTTTTCCTTATCTTCAGGAAGCCTTTGCTGGCTCACAAGAACAGCACAAAAATGTCTTTCCTAGATTTTCCTACTCTGATTTTCTGTTCTTCTCAAAGATTGTTTTTGAGAAAGATGTTTTTGTTAATCATCCAATCAGATAGAATGTATAGGAACAGTCTATAAAAGAGAAGAGTTTTTCACATTAAAGCTGCTGTTGTGCAAACCAGCCTTCTTGGAGTCTGCGCTGCTTTCTTACTCAATAGCGACATCTGGTGACCGTGCCATGTTTGGCATCAAACAGACGGAGACGCTCAGGACCCCCACCGGAACGCCACTGGGACCCCAACACCCTCTATTCCCCTGGAGAGGTTATGACCTTTTCCTGGCGTCCTCCTGGAAGAGACTGGGACCGTGGTTTTGCTCTGCTAGCTTAGAACAGCGAGTGGGGATGAATCCCCCAGCACAGCACACAGTCCGTGCTTTGCTGGGGTTGGGTGCCGGTGTTTCCGCGATGGGAAACCATGCTTCTAAAGAAGAAGACATGGTTGTTTCTGTGTGGAGGGACATGATTTCTTTCAGGGGACTCTCTGTGTCGGATGATTCACTCTGCACTCTGTTAGCATGGGCCAAGTCTCATGACTTCCCAGTGGATCTGGACGCTGCTTTTAGCCCGTTCCTGTGGGAGGCATTGGGCCACTGGCTCGCAGAGGAGTTTTCTGGAGGGGATTTTGCCGTGCCTCGGCTTATGGCTGTGTGGAGATGCTTGTTCTGTGCCATCCCGGCCCTGGACAGTGCATCAGAGATGGGGAGTTCGGAGGGCAGGGATGGCGCCAACACTTTGGGGGGACGATCGCCAGACCGGGCAACTGCGTGTTTTTCTCTGGCTCCATGCGGGCCAGCAGGAGGCGTGGGGACTCCCCACGGAACCTGTGTCTCGTCTGGAGGTTATGTTCTGCTGACAAGTCCTGATCCCTACTTCTCTGGGAGGTCGCCGTCTCCTCCCTCTGCAACATTAATGTCGCCGAGAGCGATAGCTGCTTGTCGGCCACACCTGGGAGACGGCGCTTCTCTGCCTGCGTCCCTTTCGGCCCCTCCATCGCCAGCAGGTTGGTTCTCCCCTTTCCTGCGAAAAGCAGCTGGCGGGTCGCTGCGGTGGCCAGCTCAAGATCCCCCCCTCCCCCACATTGCGAGTGAGAGCGGAGTCAGCTCTGGCATCAGCGGTCGCCACAACAACACTGGCCACTTCCTTGTCGTCAGCCATGGAGCCTGCGCAGTTGTACCGGACGCATCCATCGTCAACACCTTCCGGCAAGTGTCTGTTCCAGCTGACGTCACGCCCCCGGCCGGCTTCCCCCTCCTTTTCCATGGTGCCTGCAAAGACAACAGTGACCGTGACTGCCACATCAGCGCCATGTCTCCAAATGGTAAATTGCACAGCAGGGGCTGTGTCTCCTTTCGCTTCCCCATCTTTGGTTGCAGGGCAACTGCCTGGTCCTCTTCCCGGCGCAGCGGCTGACTTGGTTGACTTAATGTCTTTTACACCTTCGCCATTGCAGCCTACGGCAGCTGCGGTAGTGCTGCCCGCCGCCACACCATCCGCAGCTGGACCCCCATCTGTGGCACAGCCGGCAGCCGGCCCCCGTGTGCCTGGGCTCACAATTGGCCTTTCAGCCTCACAGTCTGCAGTTGACCACTCGACTCTGGAGCCTTTAGCCAACCCACCACGCCCTGCTGCCCACTGGCTGTCATCCCCATCCCTGGATGGGGACAGAGACAGCGATGAATGCCAACAGCCAGTCCCCCAGCGGGGGCGTGCCCCAGTGGTAGAACGCCGGCACCAACAGGCGGAATCATCGTCCATGCGTAACCTCTGGACTTTGCCTACCTGTTGACTGACCTGTTGGGACGCAGTTAAGATGCGAGCTTCAGAAGCTGGGGATGGGGATCTATCGGACAGGACAGGGAGGCCACAGTGTACAGCTGACACAACACTTGCTCTGGGGGGAGAGGCCACGGATGTTGTTCAGATAGCTTATCTAGCATCTGTGGGGGGGACACAGGTGGTTCAGGAGGACCATGTTCTGTCACAAGGCCAGGTGCAAGCTCTTCCCATGTATAAACCTGTCCCAAATTCAGGACACTCCAACAGGCATGATGTGATTGCCTGGCGGGTGATCCAGGATTTGCAGGACAAGGTTGCAAAATATGGCCTTGGCTCTGTGCAAGTTATGCAGGCTCTCAGAGTGATAAACTCGGACCTGCTTGCTCCATTTGATATTAAACATATTGCTCAGGCACTGTTCCAGCCTGTGCAATATGAGGTTTTTTGGACAGCTGGAGGCAGGCTGCTGAAAAGGTTGCAGCAAGCAACAGGCCTTGAGAAGACCCTAGGTTTGGCATGGGGATGGACGCTCTCCTCAGGGAGCAGGACTTTTCTAATCCTGATTTTCAGGCTACCTGGGACTCTGCTGTTCTTGAGCAGTGTCAAAGGGTAGGATTTAATGCATTGTTGAAAACTATTGAGACGGCCTCCCCCAGGCCACAGTTTACAACGAGAATTCAAGGAGCAGGTGAGCCTTTTTTGCCATTTGCCGAGAAGCTTGCAGCTGCCCTGGAGAAACAGGTTGAGGATGATACCTTAAGTAAGATTTTATGCAAGCAGCTAGCTTGGTTCAACTCAAACAGTGAGTGCCAGAAGATCATAGATGCTCTTCCAGGCGACCTGACGCTAGCAGACATGGTCAATGCATGTGCCAAGACAGGTGCTGTAGACCACAGGGTGTCCGCTCTAGCTGTTGCTTCACAGCCAGGCCAGGTACCCTTAGGGGGCGGACAACAGAAGAAGAGCAAAAATAAGGGCAAGAGAAAGCAAGGAACGCACACACCAACAGGGCCGGGTGCCACCTTCTTGTGCACTAGATGCCTAAGGGCAGGTCATTACTCAAACCAATGCAAGGCTAAATTTCATGCCAGTGGCCAGCCTTTGGCAGGCCTGGGAAATGCGCCCTGACACAAGTGATTCCTCAGAGCATGGTGCCGGCTCAGGTCTGCCCAGCCAGCTCGGAGGCATCACCCATGGCTTCGCTGGCATGGATATGTGTACCACTGATGCAGTCATCTTGAAATCCTGTTGTGAACATAAGGTTCCTTTGGACATGTTCAGACCTTTGGGACAAGGACTGGGCCCGCTGCTTGTGGGGAAATTTAGTGTCACCCACCAAGGAATCTTTGTTCACCCAGGAGTCATTGACTCTCACTTTTCAGGTCAGATTTGCGCCACAGTTTTCACACCTTCCCCCCATCACTATTCCGGCAGGGACTCGGATTGCTCAACTTGTGCCTTTTCAGTCATGTGTCCCCAGGACTGACCAGCAGACTCATGGGAATGGTGGCTTCGGATCCACGGGACTGCCACAAGCCCTCTGGTCTCCGGACCTTTCTGCTCAGTGACCCCAGATGGTGTGTACCCTGACCCTACCGGGTGCTCACCCACCGATGATCAAGCTTCAAGGTTTGATCGACACAGGGGCGGATGCAACAATTGTCTCCCTCTCTACGTGGTCTCCTACGTGGCCTTTGGCTCCTGTGGAGTCAGCCGTCATAGGGGTAGGGGGTGCGACACGTACCTTGGTGAGCCAATGGTTTGTGCTGATCACTAATGCGAATGGGCAGACGGCTGCTGTTTGGCCCTATGTCATTTCATGTCTGATCAATGTCTGGGGGCGGGATGTGTTGGACGCCTGGGGAGTGCGAATTGGATGGATTTTAATTGAGGCCACTGCATTGCAAAAAAAAAAAAAAAGAAAAAAGAAAAAAAAGGGGATGCCTGGAGAAACCAAATAAACCACCTCACAGTGCCACAGAATTCAGAGAATCTTGTCATTCTAAATAATTTTCTCTCGTTGCATTCTTCAGGTGAGACGCACCTGCCTCAAGTGAGGGTCCGGATATGGGACCTAGCCACTAATAAGTGGGAGGGCCTGTACTACCTTATCACTTGGGACCATGGGTATGCATGTGTTTCCACAGATACTGGAGTACGATGGGTACCTGCGAGGTGTGTCTGCCCTGACTTGCGACACCAAAGACAGAATGTGGCCAACAAGCAACCCTCCAAATTACGATCAAGAGGATGATCATCAATGAGATGGCCCCTCCCCGAATGGGGAGTGAACATTCCATCCTTTCTTTGTTTCTGAAAAAGAACTGTCAACAGGCTAAGACTGTCAGTTTTAAACAAATTAATGATAAGTTGTTATTGTTATTGTATTATTAGACTTAGTATTGAGATTGTAATAGAATAAGTAAATGATTTTAGGATTGATAGTGCATTTTCTGTAAGAGGGAATCACAAGATCCAATCTGACCATTTTAAATCGGCCTCCGATTGAGGAACCTCTGGAGCTGTGTTTGTTCTCCTTCCTGCAAACACCGCCTCCTTCTTTAAACAAAAAGGGGGACCTGTGGATGTGACAGCCTGGTCAGAGAGCAAGAAAATGAGATAAGTTTTCTCACAGTGGACTTGCAAGACTTTTTAGGGAGTTGTACAGAAACAATGATAACTTGTTATTACAAACAACCTGCAGGTGGTGTTTTCCTACTCTGTTTTTCCTCAAGGATTGTTTGTGAGAAAGGTGTTTTTGTCCAATCAGGTAGAATGTATCAAAACAGTCTATAAAAGAGAAGAGTTTTTTGCATTAAAGCTGTTGTGCAAACCAGCCTTCTTGGAGTCCGTGCCATTTTCTTACTCAATAGCGACTCATGGATCTTGAAATCAAAGGGTGTGGTTTGAAGGATTAGCCCTTTCAACCATAAATTTTCTAGAGTTCGTGCAATTGCGGTGACATATTTCTAATGCTCGCTTCCCCTTCTTCGTAAGTAGTGTTTTCGTGTTGGGTGGTCAAAAAGGGCAATCCAAACATCATTTCATAGGGTGACACTTGTAGATCTGATCTGGGTTTTGTCCGGACCCTCAGTAGTGCCAGACACAAACACTTTACCCATGACATCTGAGTTTCAATCATCAGTTTAGTTAGAGTCCTTTTTAAAGTTCGGTTCATCCTCTCTACCCAGCCTGAAATCTGTGGGTACCATGGGGTATGTAATTCCCATTCTATTCCCAGGACTTGAGTTATTTGTTGTAAGACTCTTGATGTAAAATGTGTTCCTGAATCCGAGTCTATCTTGTTAACCATTCCATACCTGGGAATAATTTCTTCCAAAAGGATTTTACACACCACATTAGCTGTAGCTGTAACAGTTGGGACAGCTTCTACCCAATGAGTTAAATGATCTATTAATACAAATAAAAAATTTCCATCTCTGCACTTGGGGAAGTTCAGTAAAGTCCACTTGGATGCTTTGAAATGGTTGCAGGGCTAACTCACGACCTCCTGGTGTTGTTCTTCTCATAACCTTTTTATTTACCTTTTGGCAAGTTATACATCTCTCAGTTACTTGCTTTGCTAATCCAAAGATCCCAATGCACCTGTCCTAGGGTGACATTATGATGCTGAATTGTATCCCCATTCATCTGTTTCACCCAGAAATAAGTTTTGTGCCTTTAAAACTAGATCTGAAAGTGAAGGGGGGGAGAAGGAAAAGCGGTGGATTTTTTTTGCAGTTGTATTCAAAAACAAAGCGATATGAGCTTCAGCTCTCTCAGTGTGTGTTGCCTGCAGCACAGACAGAGAGCAGGAGAGAACTCCCCTTTGCTTTCAGTTAGTTTTTTATCTAGCTGAGGCAGAGAAGTTCCCTGGACTGTGGCTTTTTCTTTTCCTGGAACTGTTCAAACCTGCTCTGGACTGAAAACCCAGAAAAACACCAGGAGCTCACACCTGTGGCACACTGGGGCCCAGGATGTGGCATTTTGCAGCACAGGAAGGACTGATAAGAGACTGAGCGAACGGAGCTCCACCCCACAAAAAAGACTCTTTCTGAATTTACCATTTCTTCAGAACAACGAGAAGTTCCTTTGTTTAATATTATTCATTTTTCCTATGTTTGGGAGTACTTTGCTTGTTAAATAAACAGGTTTTTTCCACTTCTCTCTAAAGAGATTTTTCTCCCGAACAGGTGGGGATAAAGGCCACTGAATTTTGCCCTTTAGGCAACATCCCTTAGGAAGTTCCCTTCCAAATTTGTCCCAAACCAGGACAAATACTTTTTGGCACCCAGCACGTGGCTTGAGAAAGTGGAAAAAACCTGTACTAATTGCATTTTGGTTGTACTTACTCTGTCTTGGAATAAAGCAGTCAGTAGCCATGCTGCTTACATTTATACTGTTTCTCTGGGTTGAGTTCTTCATGTTTCTCTGGCTCCTAGGCTTTTTTGAGGTTTTAATACCTTTCTGGTCCCTATGCTTCTTTTCTTATCCGGAGATAGTTCCAGTATTGTCCCTAACACATAGCTTTTACAAAAGAGGGGCAGAGATTAGAATAGCTATTTTCCTGGGCATGGTGATGATTTACAGGGAGTTTACAAAGATACTAAGGCTTGTTTAAAATATGTATAGTTTATGGTTTCTTCGTCCTACCCTGTGTCCTAGTTCCAGTATCATTTTTTGGGGGGTTATTAGTAATTGCACCCAGTTTGTTAGAGGAATCTGTTATGTCACTTTTTGAAAATTTTCAATTTCCCCTGAATGTTAGAGACCACTTTCCTGGTATTTTATCTGGTAAGCTTCCTCTATATAGTCTGCAGCTTGTCTAGAATGAGGGCTAGTATGTCCAGAAGAGCTGATGAGACCCCTGACCCAGGAGTAGACCAAAGTGTGGGAAATCCTGAGTGGTGTGGGGAATGAGAGGATATGGGCTGAACCCTGAAGGAATTTTCTGGCCCTCTAGCCAGTCTTTCCACATAGACAAATACAGAACCCAGCTGAGGTGGGGAAATAGCAGAAAAAGAAGTGAAAAGATGATTCGAATGAGAAAAAGCTCATTGCAATAAGCTGGGCCTTGGCATACGCTCATCATATGCTGCAGATAAAAGCAGGGGGGCAGGGAGAAAAATCAGCAGCTACCCCAGTCACTCAGGCTGCAGCTAAACCAGACAGTGAGCCCAAGCCAGCAACTAAACCAGACAGTGAGCCTAAGCCACTGATGATGGCGATTGATGAAAGAGATGGGGCATCTCTTGGGTCGTATGCAAGAAGAAGCCGTTTATTCTTTGTGAAGCAGGGTTTATATAGTTTTACAACATCAGCTAAAATTTTCCACTACTAAACAATAACTACATCACTCATGTCTCAACTATGTTGCTTAACCACAGTTCTGCAGGTGCAGTTCTACCTGGCTACTCTAAAAGAAAGTATAACATTCCTTTTCACTTCCCCCCATCTTGGTTTGAAAAGACAGGTGTTTGTTAAGGAAGGCAGGAGACTGTCTTGAAATTGAAAATGTAAACTTCCTCTCTCTGAATTATTATAATTTTGAAATTAAGAGGCTCTCAGGTAAAGATATGGGAATAGGAATAACAGTTCTTTACTAGGAAAATTAAAAATACAAATGCAATAGTAAAAACAAACAAAAAAACCCCACTGACAGAGCCAGAATACAACCTGACACCCTGTTAGTCAAGGTGTTGGTAGCAGTCTGATTAAATGGTGGCTGCAGTCCTCCTGGAGTGACAGGTGTGGTTTTGTTGAAGTAGTGATCTTGTAGAAGGGTGTAGTTTTCTTCTGAAGGTCTAGTGGTGTAGATGGGCCTGGTCTTCCTCTGGGAATCCAGTGAAGAAGAAAAGCTGCTCCTCTGAGAGTCTAGTGGGAAAAGGCTGGCTCTGGTGTTCTAAATCTCAGATTATATCTAGGTAGGAATGTTTGGCTCCTCCCCCTGGGCAGAGCATCTCACAATGGGACGATATAATTTTGTCAGTCATGCAGTGAGATTCAATGGCTTATTAATAGAAGATATTTCCCGGAGGGGGGATTGGTTGTGGAAGAGATAAAGAAAACTGTCCAATTAACAGAAGAAAACTGCCCCACCTCTAACAGATGGCAAATAGAATACACATCCCCACTTCCAACCTAAGACACCCTCACACTCCTATTCATTGATGCCATGGTTTCCATCCCACCAAGGTTAGCACATCTATGTCAGTTTCAGCCCTGCTCTCTAGCTGAAACCCCACATCTCCCCCTTTGTTTTCTGCCAGTAAAATCTTCTTCATGGACTTATCAATTAGTCTCTGAACACACTGCAAAACACATGGCAAGCAAATTGCTATAAGCAGCAACATAGCTAAAACATAAATCCCTGTCATAACTGAATTCTTAAGGCAGCCAGTAAGCCCCCATTTCCCAAGTATGCATCCAAGCCAATTGCTATAATCTACAACCCTTAATTTAGTGACACTGTCTCTAAGGGCTTGTATGCTGGCGTTGTGAAAAATGTGTATTTTATGATTGGCTTTTCGCAAGTATTAAAATGAATATTGTATGTGTTATGTTAGAAAGTTATGCTGTATTAATTTTCTTAAGTATTAAATTCACTATTAAATATAGTTTTAGGTTATAACATAATGTTAAAATAGAAACTATGCTATGTAAGATATTTGGTTAAGAAAGGACTTGCACCAGATAGACGCCACAGGACACCTAAATCTTTCAGAGAAAGGGAATTTATTGCTCCCTTATCAGCAGAAAACTAACTTCTTCCCACCTTGCTCAGACAGGAAGACGGCATGAGGATTAAGAGGAAGAAATTGACAGTGACCAGACAGAATCCTGTGTTTGAATGGAATTTATGCATCATGTATGAGACGTATGAATATGCAACAGGCAATTGTTTTTAAGAGTTAATCCTCTGTTAACCGGGGTCCTTTTTCGGGCTCGTGTTGCCCAGAAAAAGGTACCCGGACGTCCGTATCTCTTTGTTTTTATTGTCTCATATTGTCCTAATCTCAATTGTTCAAACTTTATTATTCTGATTATATTACTACTATTAAACTTTTAAAATTTCAAAAACAAGTGATTGGCGTTTTTCACAGCGTGAATAGAATGAGAGCCATCAGATAAATTCATGCAGCATAAGCCTTCAAAGTCTTCACAACTGTGTCCATGTGCTAAAAGCAAAAAATCTATTGCAGTTCTATTCTGCAGCATAGCATGTCACACTATCAACATCTGTTAATAGGCCTGTTAAAGGAGAGCTAGCAGCCTTAGTTTGTTTCGCAGGCCAACAGCCAAGGTTATTCAGGGTTTTTAAGGCATGTGCTGTGCCAATAGATGGGATAATTGAGGCAAATACTTGTGGTCCAATGTTCCAAGACTCAATGCTATCATCGCAATATTGGCCATATGTGTGGGTGCCACACTTTGTTCATACTAGCCTATGAAAGAATGTTAAATTTTCTTGTAAAGAGTGAAACATGGTCAGTTGCCCAAAAGTACAAGGACTTCCTAAAGCCCTTCCTGGTGTTCCTTCCCAAACTCTGTTTCCACATATCAAAAATATGTTGTCTAGTAATCCAAGGGCCACTTCTCTTACAACAATTTGCCATGGCAATGTGTGATTACACCAGGCCAAAGCATTGGTATAAATGTCTGTACCTGAAATATCAAAGGCAGGACCTATGTTTTCTCTGTTAACTTGATACTAGCTCCCACGGGTATAGTTTAAAAAGAAACACACAAAAGTCTGCACAGATCCAAAAATATCTATACCAAACGCTTCTTGCCCCTCCCCCCAGACCCAGCGGCCCATGTCGGCGGCTGGGAAGGAGAAACTTTTTCAGGAATTTGAATCCCCATGATGGATTTGGGGTCCCCACTTGCCCAGGACAAGCAAGTGTCGTCTGCTCCCTGCTGCACCGTTCTCCCCCGTTATACAAATGAGTGTTGCCCAGCCCTCTGATCAGCGGTACCATCCCCATCCCCTCGGGGCTTGGGACCAGAGGTAGCAACTCCGGAAACGACCTCACCCTCGCCACTGGTGCGTGCAGGGGGAACCATGCATCCCAAACCCTAGAGAGAACCCCCCGAGCAAGCCAGAGTCGGCCCGCGAAAAATGTCTTGCCCCAGAAAAGCACTGAGCTTCAGAGTTGTCAGCTGGGAGGCACCTGCTGTGAGCAAACGAGCCACGCCTCCCCAGGGAGACAGGCTGACACCCCCTGCTGCTGTCCCAGCTCACCCCCGCAGAAGCAGCCTCGGGACAGCCCGAAAAGATCGGGGGGGAGTCCGGCCCGGCCGCAGGTGCCACGGCAGCTGCCGCCGGAGGCGGCGGGGGCAGCGGGAGCGCGCAAAGAAGCACTGCTGCTGTCTCTCTCGGTTCCGGGCGGGGCGGGTCCGGCGCGGGCTCCGTCGCTGCGGGAGGGGGTGGGGGTGGGGCTGTTCATGGGCTCTGCAGCAGCCGCCGTCGGAGGCGGGGCCGCGGATGGCGCGCGGGGTGATTCTGCCGGCTGGTCGCCGTCCTCAGCCTCTTCTGGAACCGAAACCGGGTCGGCAGGAGGCAGTGGGGGTGGCTCCGCTGGCTGGTCGCTGTTCTCAGCATCACAGCAGGCATGCTGAACCAGAGCCGGGCCGGTAGGAGGCAGTGGGGGTGGGTCGGAATCGTCCACAGCTTCAACATTTCCCACCGCGGCGGCGGGCGGGGCCTCCGCGGTCTCAGCCATCACTGGCTGTGCTGGAAGTGTCGCCCCGGGCGGGGCCGGCACCTCCCGTGGGGTAGGTGGGGGCGAGGCCGGCGCCGCCGAAGCTGCGGGTGTCTCTCAGCCCCAGGAGGGGTGGAGGAGGAGGCGGTGGTCCCTCTTCCACTGGCTCCGCTGCCGGGACTTCTGGTGTGCCATTCAGCGCGGGGCCAGCCGAGCTCTCCAACGCGATGCGGGCGGCCGCACCCCTTGTCAGGGGCGGGGCCGGTGGAGTCTCCGCGGCTGCCGGAGCGTCTTCGGGCCAGCACTCAGCGGCGGAGGCACGTCCCTCCCCAAGGTCAGGCTGCCGTTGCTCGCAGCTGCCACTGTTGATCGCGTTTCCTGGCAACCTGAGCGAAGCAGTGAGAGACGGTGCTGCTGATGTCGGCTCCTGCGCATGCTCCAGAGAGTTAGAAAAAAAAAAAATCTTCTCAGCCGGCATCTTGGGCAAAGCCTCTCCCCCGCTCTCTGCGCGGGGTGCAAGCCGGCGGCGGGGACTGTCCTTGAAGAGACTTCTGTCCCGCCGGCTGTGGCGGGGGGACCTGGTGGCCCCCCGCACGGGGGGAGACCCACGGAGCCAGAAATGGTCCCCAAACGAATGTGGTCGCCTCTCAAAAATGTGAAAAGCAGCTCCCAAGTGGGCAGCTGGCGATGGACCTTCCCAGTCCATTCGAAATGCCTCCTAAGATAAACACCCAGGGCATTCCACGCGCGGGGGTCCCAGGAGGAATGCATGCCCATTGGGAACCCATGGCGTCTGGCCCAGGCAAAAAACTCATAAAGTTATTGCTGGGGCAGAAGAACTCCATAGTCACGGAGCATGAGCTCCCAGATTTCCAAAGTGAATTTCTCTTCCCATGAAAATTGAGTGCTGATGTCTACAGACATCTCTTCCCAAAGTCAAAGCCCACCCAATTGGGCAGTGCCTGCCAGAAGAGCTTCCCCCAGCCCCTGCCTTTAAGGCTTGGGGGCCAAACACGGCCAGAAAAGACCGGGTCTCCTCTCTAGGAAGACTCAGGAAAGGGATAATACCTTTCTCTCTGGGGAAAGCAGGTGGCAGCGTCCAGGCTCGGGGTCCCGCGGGGTCCTAGAGGCTCTTCCCATCTGTCCCACGACGATCTCTGGACACGCTTCTGGGATTTTTTCTCGGCAGATTCTTTCTGTGCTCAGCCATGCTACGAACTCTGCCCAAATTCAGAGTCTTGGTTCTCCAGTCCAGGCCACAGTCACTTGTCCAGGTTCACCACTTATTACTAATCAAGGGCGACTCCGTGTGAGAGGGAGAGAAAATTATGCATCTGACTCCATCATCAGAAGGCTAAATAATTACTTTATTATTCTATACTATATACATTGCATCTAAACTGAATCTGCCTTGCACTCACCCTTGCTCACAACTGCACAGAACTGCACTAATCTCCTGACTCTCTTGTGACTGTCCCGTGACAGTCCGACACACACACACTTCTTGGCCCTGATCTTTTGGAGCCAAACAAACATTCTGGGGCATATCCCATGACATAAAAATTGCTAGAGAAGAAAGTGCACAGTCTGGAAACTACAGAGTTTTCCAGCACAATCTCAGGATGTTTAGTATCCTCAGACACCCACAGAAGAAACACGAACTTCTAGTGTCATGGAAACCTGTGGAAGATCAGACAGCTACAGAAGCTGAGCTGGGTAGTGCCGCTGACCTCTTGGCCCTGGTACAGTGGAAGCTGTGGGAGAGATAAACTCAAGGCAAGAACAGAAGTGAAGACATCATGACTGGTCACTCTGACCACTCTGAGGAGAGAATGTAACAAGGATGTTGCTAACGCAAAAGAATGTAACAAGGACCTGAGAACTGAAAAGATTGCGTTACTACGGGAACAGGGGCAAAGGCGTCCCAGTGAGAAATTTTGCATGGAACTATGGAAATATGTGTGAGTTGTGTAATAAACTGGTGTCGGGGTCCGCTGTTATGTGTCTCTGCCCCGACACGGGGAAAGGTGGTTCTGAGCGGCCGCGATCGGGAAGGATGAGTCTGGACTCTCAGATTCTCGGTCTTCAGTCTTGTTTATTATCTCTTATCTACAAAGTTTTCTCTCTGTCCAGCCGAGGTCCGCTCAGCAGGACAGTCAAGTGCACTCTCCCTCGCCCACAGGGCGGCTGTGTCTTTTATAGTAAAAATTACGTGTAACATATTTACCTTTATTTCCCAATACTATTCACCCTTATAGACAAGTGTACCTTCACCATGAACCAATCCCCAAGTGCCAACATCACCACAGAAAATGGAAGACATGAAGAAGAAAGAAGAACACAGGACCACGCCCTGAATCCTCCATCTTGCCTTCATGACCCCCCTGTACCTATTTTTCTAAAATTTATATTTCCCTCCATAAATGTATCATTCACACCCAAGAAGCTCTCATTTCCTCCTTCACAGGTTCTTCTCCTTTTGATGGATCAAAATCCAACCACCAAACCCTTTTGGCTGCATTCCAGGGTTTCCGAGCCCCCCAGGGGCTCCCCTGGTGCCTCTGCACATCCACAGTGATGTGTTGAGATCCCACAATCAACTATAAATTCTAATGCTTCTCCATGGGGGCCTACTTTTAAAGTTATCAAGGGCTCTAGATGGTATTTATCCCCCAGGAAATAGAGCCCCAGACATCCCTAGTCTAATTCTTCTGAATGTACCTCTTGGAATACTTTCAGGTCCTTGTTCCAGCAAGGTCAATCTCTCTTATAGCATTCCTCTTCTCTGCAATAAAAACAGACATTTCTAGTTTGCTCCTGAGACCTTGATCGTACAGGGGTCCTGTTTCCTCCCCTTTCCTTATCTCTGGAATCCGAATATCTGGGAATAGTACCTGGGGGCTGCGGATTCCTCGAGGGGTTACTTTCTCACATGGTGGCTACCATAATTTTAGCTTTTGCCTTGGCTTTTTCTTCATCCCTCCGTACATAAACTTTTTGGGCTTCTTTCAATAATTTGTTTAACCCCTTATCTTGCCATTCCTCAATGTTTTCCAACTTTTTCCTAATATCTGGCCTGGCATGGGTGGCAAAGTTAACCCTTAACAGGGCTTGTCCTGCTATACTATTGTGGTCTGTCCTGAAGTACTGCCACATGTTTTGCCAGAGCCTCTCTAGGCATTCAGTTGGACTTTCTTCCTTTCCTTGCTGCCCATCAAAAGCTTTGCTAACATTTTGCCCTCAGGGTTCTGCCTCTTTTATCCCTTTCATTATTGGATTACGATAATCAGTCATATTGCCTCATCCTGCTGCATCATTGTGACTCCAATTAGGAGATGCTATTGGCATTTTCTGGTCCCTTTGTGGGCCTTGTTGATTTTCTCTTTCCCAAATTCTCATTCTGGTAGCCTTAATCAGCTGCCTCTCCTCTTGGGAAAATATAATGCCCATTATTGACTGCATTTCTTCCCAAGTAAAAATGTTGGGGCCTAAACATTGGTCTAATTGTTAAGCTAAACCTATGGGATCTTCTAATAATCCTTTATTTTCCCTTTTAAAATTTCTGACTTCTGAAGAGGTCAAAGGAGCATTCAGAAATCCTATCCCCCCTTGAGCCCCTCCCATAGGCACTTCCCTTAAAGGAAATAAGCCAACTTCTTGATCTCTTTCTAAATCAGACCAGCCTTTCTGTTCCTCAACTATCATGACCTTAAGAAAGACCTGTTTCCCTTGCTGTGGGGTGGTGTCAGGGGAAGACTTATTGAGCAGTCCTCAAGTTTTTACTGAACTTCCCCTCATAGTTGGATGATCCCATAGGGGTGGGGGAAAAGATAGAGGAATATTTGGGAAATGCAGATTATACATGGAAGGATTGGGGTTTTCTTTTCGGGATTTTATTTGGGTCATCAGAGAAATGAATGATTTTGCAGAAAGCTCGGCAGCTGTGGGAGGATGAACATCCACAGGCAGCAGGGGGTGCGGGACCTAATGTACCTACAGTGGATGATGCCATCCCACAGGCTGACCTCCAGTGGGACCCAAATAACCAGGCCAGTCTGTCTCACCTCCGCAATTACTGTGCTTATCTGATTAGGGCAATTAAATCAGCCGGTCCCAGAACTAACAACATAGCTAAGGCTATGTTGTTAGAAGAAACATGAAAGCCCTTCTCATCGGGTGGAAAGGATTAGGGATGCTCTGCAAAAGCATGGGGGAATGGATCCTGAGGGGCCAGCCTTTGACACATTGCTGAAGGTACAATTTATTACTAAGGCCTGACCTGATATAAGGAAAGGAGTACAGAAAGATGAAGAGTGGCAAAATAAGCCTCTGGAGGAATTGGTTAGAAAAACACAACAGATATATGTAAGAAGAGATGAGGAAAAGGTTAAAGCTAAGGCAAAGATGATGGCAGAATTTTTGCAGCCCCAAAGAAATAAACCACAGGGTCCAAGGGGTCCCCCATAACAGAGGGGACAGGGTCGGCCACAAGGAAGTGGCAGAGGCATTCCCTCCCCAGCAGGGGAGAGCCAACCCAAACAGCGGTTAGGGCGAAACCAATGTACTATCTGCCGGGCAGAAGGGCATTGGAAAAGGGAGTGTCCACAGAGACAGCTGGACCCTCAGGAGGAGGAAGTCCGGAAGATAATGGAAATGGATTGTTAGGGGTGTCAGGGGCTCCCATTATATCAAGGACCCATCACTCTGGAGCCCTTGATAACTTTTAAGGTGGGTCTACATCCCTTTATTTGAATAAAGTCAAAAAGGACTCCTCTGTCTCCTTTTTGGACATAAACCTCTGGTGTTTGTGGATTAATTTTCCTAACAACTGGGAGCTCGTCCGGGATCTTTCCACCATCCAGGGAGGTGGGCAGTGAGCGGAGCTGGAAGTGCACCACGCCCACTTAGGGTGATCAGCTCCCCTTGGTGGCGGCCAGCTCTGAGTGATTGATTGGGTTCCTGAGACTGTCCAGGAGACAGACGAGTGGAAGACCAGGGGGGTCCGTGAAGAGTTCACAGGGAAGGACCACTGAAAATCTCACCAGTGAGTAAAATGGGATCTTCAGGGAGCAAACCTGGGAGGGCACCCATGGAGAGTAGCACAGGTAAAACAAGGCACTCATGGAGGTTTGCAACGGTAAAGCCAGGAAGGGGTCCCAGCAAAAGGGATGACGATCCCATAATACCTACGGAGAGTCCCTTGGGGAGAATGCTGAGGTTTTAGAACAGATTATACATTCACCCAGAGATAACTATGGAGATCATGGTAAAATATTGTTATTTTGTGTGGCCAGAGTAGGAGTTGCTAAGGGGGCATATATGGCCACCTTATGGAACAGGTAGAATTCATTTGTGTCGAATTTTGTGGAGG